ACATTTCAACTTGTGTGTAATTTATTAAGATTCGACTTTTCAAATAGATGGCAATAATTCTCAAAGTATTTTCTAACTACAACCTTATTAAACTTCTGTAATCTGACACCTACGCTGTGATTCATATTACAATTGTCTGATGCCAATAATTCAAGTATTTTTTTTTTTTTCAAAGAAGGTCACAACCCTCCAACGTGTAGCCTAGAAATACAGTCTTATTATTTCGATTTAAACCCATATTGTTATAATTCATTTAAATTAATTGAATATAGTGTTTAAATAGGTGGCAGCCCTTGAAAAACAACTCATTTATATTCTAAGTGTTGAAACTAAAGGCATATAAATAACTTTCCGATTGACACCTTAAACACTTCAAATATTATGCGAATTATTAATTTAAATTAGACTTTTCAAACAGGTGGCAAGATATTAAAAAAAAACCTTTTTAACCTAATACAAATTTCAAGTAAATAATTCCCTTAATTCAAGATGCATTTGATTTTTTAATTAGATACCAGCCCTCCTCCATGATTATGGAATTCATTTAATATATCTTCGTACAAAGATTCAGTACCTTACCATAAATACTAACTAAAATATCTCATTTATACGTGTATTGTAATAAAAGTTTAAAACACGCATTTCAAGCATGACATAACCGTTACCACTTCTAGCATGAAGCGTTTACAAATTAATTGTAAAATTGAGGAATTTAATCTTTTATGCTAATAATTTTGCACATTGCATACCACAAACATAATTTCAAAAGCCTTGCAGACTCACTCCAGCTTGTGCAATAACTCTTTCAGACTGCTTTGCAGCTCGCTTATCGATTTTCCCAAAATACATATGTGTGTATATATGTGCATATGTACTACGACTCTGCTGTTGTAATTAAAGCTGAGTAGCTGAAGCGTGAACATTTTTTATATCTTGCTAAGAATTTTAATAATCTGTTTTGAAGGTTTGTCATGCTCATGTGCATTTGAACCTCAAGAGACTTTCCATACGATCGGTTGGCAGTTAATGTGTAAACTTCTGAAAAGGCAGATATTGTCATCACTTTTTCTGGACTATAGTTTTTACTTGCACACAAATTTTCTCTTTGAACATTTATGAGTACACATTGAGTTAAAATAAAACTGTAAATCTAAAAAATTAAATATATAATATAAGTTTTTCATATTACCTCCACCTTCGTTTGACAGAAGAACAGTTAAATATTTCTTTATATTTGCTAACTTTTTCATTTGCTAACTTTTTCATTGCATTTAATAAAGATTTTTATGCTCGATTTCACAAATCAATTTTAAATTTTTTTGGCTGTTTGAATTTAAAATAACACAATTTTTCCGGAAATTGTGCTATTTTAAATTTTAACAGTTTGATAAATTTTAAAAGTGATTGGTGAAACCCAGCATTTGAGAAGCGTTTTTAAACAATTAATTTTGACTTAAAAAAAAAAACACAAAATCAGCAAATACATTAATATAAGCCTAGATAAATATTTATGGCATGGCGTGTCAATCCAGAGATATTGGCAGTTGGCAGCCATAGCCGTAGATACAAAAGCAATTTAGAAATATAAAAACACCCACAAACGTTGAAGTAGTTGTTTAAATTGGTACATATCTATGTACCCTTCTGCTCAGCTGATTAAATTTCATTTCATTTCATTTCATTAGATTGAATTTTGACCAGTTTTGGCTATTTTATATTAACTATTGAACGGTTATATATTTTTTTTTATAAAGTTTTAGCAAATTACATAACCAGCACTTCATAAATCCTCAGTTCAAACTTCGTATAAAATTAAAAAAAATTAAACAAACTTTAACGATTACACATAAAAACTTTAAAAATTTTTAGAAAAATTTTATGTATGCAATTTTGTAGCCCACTAAATTTAAGGCGGAAATTTCAAGACGCCAGACGCATTGGCTTTTAATACCTTTTTGAGCATTTTCTCCCATACAAAGTATGCTCGATAATTACTCATATATGTATGTATATAGGAAAATGCCTAGAAGCGTCAGCAAAAAAAAAACTATATTAAAAATAAACGCAATTTTCTAGCTTTTTAGAATTTGCACTGTAACCTATTAAAATCTAATGCACTATAAAACTGCATACCTGAAATTTTTTTTTTAAATTTTAATAAAAGTTTACATTTTTTTTGCAGAATTTTTAAAATCTTTGTAAGAAGTTTAAAATGTGGATTTATGTGGTGCTTTTAATGTAATGTGCTAGACCTTTATAAAAGAATATAGATATTAAATAAAAAAAAGAAAATAAAGAAAAACTGCTGAAAATGTCGCTTATCTTAATCAGCTGACCACATGTGCATGAATGTATGTATGTGACTGGTAGCGTTAATTTTTTATTTCTTTCCCCACATATATGGGTATTTTTAACCAAAATAAAATTATAAACGTATGGCTTTGTACATAAACAATTAATTTTTAAGCATAAAACAAAACCGACTGCAATTCTCATATAACATTTTAAGATCAAATGATCGCCTTTCCTTTAAAAAATATTTATAGAAATCGGTTAAAGTGAACTTTTTAGACATTTTGTAATATTATTGAACTTTTTTACATATGAGGCATTCTTTTTTAAGTCGGACCGATTTCGTAAAAAAAGATGTCATCTCGTCTTAAAAAAATATTTTAAAAATAGTTCTTGAAAAACCCCCAATTTTCCAAAACATGGTTTCTATAGAGAAATAAACAAGAATTATGATGGGATGATTTTAAATCTCGAATTTACTGTCTTAACTATGGAAATAAACTTTAAAATGTTTAACTGAATAAAGCTAAGATAGCATTAGAAAATCATAAGCATCTTATATACAAAAATATTAAGTCCGTTTCCTTAATTTTAAAATGACGTTAAGATGAAATCTCTACGATGAACAGAACCCGATATATAACGATTTGAAGAAGTACATGATTAGTCAGAATAACGGCAATACTCGAATACTTGTTATCTTACTTCATGTAAGGAAGCTATAAAAAAAATTTAAGCGAATTGATGACATGACTTCATTTCTTTATGAAATTCGTTCGACTTTAAAAATAATGCCTCAGATGCCAAAAAAGTTATTCTGGAGACATACGCGCATTCCTCCATAAGTTACTTTATACTATTCTTTCAATCAAATTTATTTTAAATGTGTTCCTTAAGCTTTTATGTAATATTGGTTTTCAGCTCAGAAAATATATTTCATACATATTCCTGTTGCTTGTACTTTTGGCGTTGCGGTAAATTTCCACAAAAAAAAAAAAATATACGACCATTTGCTTCTTGATTGCGGCAAACAGACTCGATGGATGCATATTTCTTAACTGTTTTCAAACCAATGTTTTATTTTTCTAGATAGCTGGATACTATAATACAAATTTTCTTTCTTAAACTACAGCTATTATAATATCTTGCTTTCCCGCCTCATCACTTGGCTTTCAAAAATTGATTATTACGAAGTTTTCCGCGTTATATATTTCTCTCTACGTCACGTCTTGATTTTTTGGAATGACATGTTTACTTGCGTGTTTCTTTGGTGACAAATAAGCATAATCTTGAGCATGCAAACAGCAGCAGCCCATATTTTTTATGCAGAAATCGTGCATATCTATCAAAATGTTGCTGACTGTGGTTGCGTGCAAATGGCGAAGCGCAGAATTGTTCAAAAAAAAAAACACTAAGGATGTGTGTGAAATGCGTGTAACATACAGATGTACTGAAATGTTCGATAAACACACCATGTTATTTTTGTTTTTGCATGTCAAATAAAGCAAATTGACAGTGTGCCGCCAGTAAAAAAAAAACTGCAAAATAAAATGACAAATCACATCCTCATAATATCACCCGTGCAGCCGACACATCAGTGTCAAGACAAATACAGCTATATATCTATAAATAGGTTGTGTGTGGATCCCACGCACTAGTGAAGTTAACAAGGTTAACTATTACTTAGCTCACCATATTATATGAGTATTTTTCTGTATAATAAACTTAATCTAAACCTCAATTTTAATTTCAATTTCAAAATTAAACTTAATCTTAATCATTTACTTAAGTTAAGTCTTAACCTTAATGTCAATTATACCCTTATTCTTAATCTTAATCCAAATCTCAATCTTAACCCCAACGTCAATCTCAACCTCAATCGAAATCTCAAATTAATCTTAAACTAAATCTTAATCTCAAAATAAATCTAACCTTAAACTTTATCTTAATCACAATCCCTACTTCAATCTTAGTCGCAACTTCGATTTGAGTCTCAAAGTTAATCTTAATCTTCATTTTAGCCTTTATCTCAATCCTAATATTAGTCTTAATCCAAATCTCAATCTTAATCTTAATCTCAATTTCAATCATAACCCTAACCTCAATCGAAATCTTAAATTAATCTTTAACTAAATTTTAATCTTAATCTCAATTCTAATCTTAATCATTACCCGTTGCTGTTCACGTTTCCTGTGGACCCTGTTGATTTGCTGTGACATAAAAAAACAATAACTTGAACAAATGTATGCCTGGTGGCTGCTGCGTTGGCTTTCAGCTCCATTGATATTCTTATTTTCCTTTACCTCCGCTGCACTTCTGCCTTATATAACTGACGGGGCTTTGACTTAATGGTCACACCTTTGTAATAATTTGTTTTATTCGTAACTATCAATGTAAGTATCCCCGGTAAGTCTAGTAAAAGGACTATATAAAACTACAAAAACAGCAACAAAGTGTCGCAAAACTTGTTTGCCGTCCAATAGTTACTTCAAGCTCTCAAGCTCTTTAAGCTCTCAATTTCTTCAGAACCATTATATGTATCTATATATGTATGCATATAAGTAGATAGAGTCAAAATGTCATTCAACACATTTTTCTTATATGCTACCTAATTCCAATGACTAAATACACATTTATGCGCAGTCAGCTGTTGCAAAATACTACCAACACAAATACCTGAATGTCCTACAAACTATGTATGTACTTACATTCGCATGCACAGAGTGGTCAATGCAGCAGCAAGCTGGGCTGCCGAGTACCATCAATCATTACGGGAACATATTTTGTTGTTATTTCTACTTGTACGCCACTTAGTTGCATACTTTGCGGCACTGCATCGATTTTTTCATGTGTGTAGTATACAATTTTTTTTTCGCTGCAAATGAAACTTAAAATGCTTTTCTCCTGTATTTATATTGTATATTTATTTTCTAATATACAAGTGTGTGTATTAAAAAATTTCGAAATTGTATGCGAGCGCCTATATGTAGGTTATGTACATACATACATAGTTTTTTGCTTCACACATATTTTTTCGCGACATTCTGCACATAAATTTTGCATTTTTTAATGTCTTACTACATTTACCACTTAGTACATAACCAATATGCCCTTCTATTCGCGTTTTTCTCCTCCCCATGCTCTCAACACCTCACTCGGCCTCCTCAACATAGTATGCAACACTTTTTACATTAATATTCGTTAAGCATATTTTTTTCTTATTTCATACTCCTTCAACCATCTTCACAAACACATTCACGGCCTGCGTGCGTAATTTCTACTACTTCTACACCGTCGTACTTCCGCTTTTGCTGCTTTTAGGCTTTGAATTCGACTTCGCATGCGGCACAAACGGAATCGAGCGCGCGCGTGTTTACTTGCCACTTGCTAACCGTACGCGTCAATTTTATATGAACGACTGAATCGTTCGCCATTCGCAACCCGTTAGTTTTATGTGCCGTATGAGTGTCCAGTTGCACAGCTATGAATGTGTGTTCCTGCAGCCTTGGTTGAGTTGATTGAAAAAATATCCCTACTTTTTTTCGCCGCGCATGCGCCCAACAACTGTTGTTTGTACTTCGTTATTCGCTGCGAAGTTTTGTAGACTGGATTTTATTTGTAGAGTTTAGAGTCCTACAAGCCTTGCAACACTAGTGTTTGTTGTGTCACCTTTGCCGGCTGGCTATCCTGGAAAGTCCTTTATTTTACAAGTTTTCTCAAATATGGTTTTCAGTCTGGTCGCTGACGTTGTTCCGCAAGCAACTTGGTAGCACTTTATTGGTAGCGTAGTGTTGTAGGATTCCTTTCTATTTGCTTTTGAATTCTGCACTTTTTGCTGCAGCGTGTTGTATCCCTGTATTGTGCCTGCCTAAATTTTTGTAGTTGTGCTTCTTCTTCCCATACTTCTATCGCCAGCAGACATTGGGTTTTTCTTGGTGTAGTTGTGAGACCAGCAACAGCGAAATTACGTAAACCATGGCGTTCTAATTATTCATATGCATTCAAGTGGGGCACGTCGTACAGACAAATTTTTTTGTTGTCTCGACTAATTTTACTTTCATATGTACTCCACATTAATTATTTCCTTGTGTTTCTGTAGGCATATTTTGGTGTTTGAAGAATGTTGTCTGAATAATATTTAGTATTCCTTTTTCATGCTAATTATTCTGGTGTTTTTTTCTGCTGTTACTAAGGTTCTATTCCTGCAAGAAATTTACTTTCACTTTCTAGTTCTCTAACTTTACATTCTTAATTTAAGCTGCAAAGCTGTTTAACTGGCGGAAAATAATTCAGCTGATTGAAGATATACAGTATCGGTCATCTCTATAGCACGCCATTTCGAAGTGATATTCTGTGCCACTTATGTTTATTTATTAATTTTTAAGAATTTTCAATTAAAATATAGTTCATTCTCAGACAAACCCGATACAAACCCAAGCTTAATAACTTTTAGAAAGCTACAAAAAAGTGCAACAAATTTTCACATAAATTTTAAACTTTTTTCTCGGAAGAGTTAGAATTTTTTTTGAGTACACAGTTTGTTAGTCCTTCAATTTTAGTCTGATAATGTGCGAATTTGAAGTGGCTACGAATTACCGTTTATTTTTTAGATTTTTTTTGTCGCATTGGCTTCCATATAATGAATAAACTCAATTTATTTGTATATGGAAGAAATCCGCAACACCTTTGACGAAAAAAATTCTAAAAAATCAACGGTAACTTTTAGCCACTTGAAACTTGCACATTATCAGACTAAAATTGAAGGGGCTACAAAACTGTGTACTCAAAAAAATTCTTACACTTCCGAGAAAAAAGCTTGAAATTTATGTGAAAATTTGTTGCTCTTTTTTCTAGTTTTCTACATGTTGTTACACTTGGGTTTATATGGGGTTTGTCTGAGAATGAACTGTATTTTAATTGAAAATTCTTAAAAATAAATAAATAAACATAAGTGGCACACAATATCACTTTGAAATGGCGTGCTATAGATATGACCGATACTGTACATACGTACTTAGTTAGTCGCCGAATTTATTTTTTCATTGGGGTATTCACTTAGTCTTACAAAACCCTCGTACGGTTTGCAAGGTCTTTCCATAGGCAAGTTATGCACCTTTAAAGGGGTTTGTAAGTCTTAGCGAATACCTCTACGCATAGGCTTGGTAAAACTATTTAAATATGTGGTGCGGATGACGAGTTATTAGACTACATTAGAAGTCTGTGGTCTCAAATTGTTAAAGCTAAGCTCTAGATACTTCATTGGCTTGACTGTCTTAGAAAACAAATAATTTTTTTTATGATATCTTTTCAATGGCTATTTAATTAATAAATTGATTGAACCCCGCAGAGGACACTGTGGGATAGAAGATCTAGCTATCCACATTGTGAGTCTCTAAACCTGACATACCAAGAGACCATCGGCTTTCCTTATAAATGCTAATCTTAATAAATTATACGAGGCTCGAATGCGTATAGATTTTCCATCCGTTATTACATATGCCGCACTGGTGTGGTGGTGACTAAAATAAAAGCTACGCCGCTTAATTTGCGTGGCCATGACAGGAGTTATGTGTACCTGTTCAACGTATGCTCTTGGTATGACTACAGGAATTTCTCCTCTGTCTATTCTGTGTTCCTAGATAACAAATTTGGCCAGAATAAATGTTATGTCGGATAGGCAGGCAGAATTAAAGATCCTAGACTCCTTTAGAATGGCACCGAGGCTTGTGGACAGTTGCAAAATTTGTTTTTCAACCGCCCAGAAGCCCACAATAGAGTGACGCTGTGACCAGCATGAACCAGTATGAATGCTGGGAGAAAAGGTTGCCATGCAATTTCGATAGCCACAAAAGCAATCACAGGCTAGCGGTGGAGAATTCGGCTGCAAAGATCATACCAGACTTCAAAAGTATACTCAATTCCGCAGACTGAGTGCATATTCTAAACGTGTTAAAAAGTTATTGGTGCCTGGCTAACATAATTAGAAGCTACCTTCACAAAAGAATCCTTGAGTATTCCGCTGACGAGGGAACAAAGCAGTATGCCATCACATCCGGTCCTAGGCTTTACTACGGAATGTAGGGTTTAGTGTTTAAACTACCTCCCGATGAAAAAATTGACAGTAGTACTGGGGGTAACAGGACAGTTGGATGTTTAGTGGGTAAAAGTAGGGGTTCCGATGCCTAGTAATAATTTTGCGCTTACACTTTTTGGATAAGCTTGTCGTTCAATTTATGGTGAGCGGCCTGATATTTTAGCGTAAATGAAAAGTACTAAATCATGCGTGGAGGTTTGAAATTGCTTGCCGAGGGGTGACCGCTGTTAGAAAAAACTTCTTCTTATTTAGGACCAGGGACCGAACCCATATCCTACGTAGTGGTGGCAAGAACTTCTAACCACCCCTAGCGAAAGAGGGTCTGATGGTTACTTGGATTATATATGTACATAACTACAAAGTTGATTCTAAGAGGCGCCATAGACGGTGCGTCTGACCCGCGAGTCATTTGTGTACGTTCCGACACGCCTTTCGACTACACACAGTTGAGTCATTCAGAGTCATGCCGGTCTTTTTTCCAGCGATTTTTGACATCACTTCCTCATATGCTGAAGTGACTTAGGACCAGTTTTTCAATGCCAGTTTAAACTTAGATGAAGTAAACTGCGTTCATATTGAAAAGATGGCTGATATTCGGGTGGCTAATTTAGTTTAAACTAGCGAACTCGAGCGTTTACACTGAGTTTAAACCGTTGCACTGAATAACTGGTCCTTAGTACTTAAACGAAAGCACTTTGTACTCCACACAACGATCTATGTATACTGTAAAATAACTTCATTGTTTTTCAAATTGGTGATTTAACATTGTTTCCAGTTTGTTCAGCTGTCAACTTTCTATCGTAAATGCCTGCTGGTTGCAATGGAGAATGCAATGCTTTTCGTATAAACATTTTTAAATTTTTTTGATGACCATGCATTGTTGCTGGTATTTTATTGGTTGATAGGTGAATTAGCAATGTGAAAATACTTACATAAATACCCTGCAGGAAATGTATCTAACTATAAGTTAACTTGAAGTTGATTAGGAAGGAACTAAAGGTTACTATTATCTATATATTTTCTTTGAGGAAAGCTAGCTATATTTGTATGGCGATGGCCGCGAAATAGTCAAGGGTGGTTACCTCCGCATTAGAAGTCAGCTAATTTGTAACTAACTACTTTTGGACACAAAATATCAATAAGAAAGGCAATCTTTTTTATTTTATTTTTACTTATTTATTTATTTACACTATTTAACATTACATATTCGTTTACATATTCTGCTTGAGGTGGTCCCATGTTCGAATTCAGCCAGACCTAACTTGAAAATTGTAATATAAATTACGATTTTACAACTTATTTAAATTTAGTTCTGTCATAGCTAATTTAAAGTTAGGTATTTATCGAAATCCCGCAAAAAAGCTAACTATAAGTTGGTTCTTTTTTATTAATTAATAGTTATTTTCCGCAGGGATTCCACATATGTATGTAAACATGTAGATGCGTAATGGAGCTTAACAATATTTACAAACGGCGGTGTACACATATACATATATACTTTTCACGGTAGATATTTTCTCCATTAGTATTAACCCTTTTTCATTTCATGAAAATTCTGTCCAAGTTTGTTTTTGTCTACCAACCATTTGACCTCCTTTCCAGCTGCCCATCTCCCATTTATAATATTTCCTAGGTAACCTTTGCTATTTTCATTTAAATTCTTTTAGCAGTTTACCTTTTTCTGGTCATCATTTTCGTTTACCGTTAGCCCAGGCGCATGCATTTCAATCAGACAAGCAAACAAATAAACGACCAACAAAATATGAATGCATAGAAATACTACGAGTACCTAGCAAATAAACAGAAAATGCAACCTTTCATCGGAGAGTTCAATATTAGAGCGGCAGATTTGTACAAGCATACCCAATTTGCCGAACGACTTCTTAACGACGTCGTTTCCAACTCGTTCTGGTGAACAATTTGTTCTCCGACAAACTGGCCGTCGGATGAAAAGCACAGTTCGCCGGCAATCCGTAAAAACGATATACTACTAGCGAACTGCAAAACGATGCTCAAAATCTTTAACAAAAACCATACAAATCCAATTTCAATAATGCAATATTTAAAAAACACAAATCAAAAGGCAAAAATATAACCAATTTTTATAGCTCATTAAATTTTAGTGTAGGTAGGTAGGTAGGTTGTCGCGGTCGTCTATAAGACACACTTAGGCTCAGGGCCCATTGTGATGCCGCATGTTGGGTCAGCAACTCCCAATCCCTCCTAAAACCATTTTGAACTTTGAACGAATTTTAGAAGATCCCTGATTTCGACGCATCAAAGGTCCACCAAGTTGTCGAAGAATTGCCTA